TTTCCTGATTGACAATCAGAAATCAGAAAATCAATCGGGAAAAACCTGATTTCTGTTTGGGAAAATCAGAAATTCAATCAGAAAATCCTGATGGCATTTACACCGGTGATCGGCTCGCTTACTGCGCCCCTCCAAATGAACAGTTTAGACGCTGTGGCCAAAAAAAAAAAAAAAAAAAAAAACTGGCATGATGGGGTCGGGTCCTTTTGTCCAATCAAGTTCCCCCTTTAACGACTACATGGTCCCAGTAAAGGAACCCTCTAAATGATCCGGAAGCGGGAAAAAGGGAAAACTTGACTTATCCCCAAAATTTAGTTTTTATTTTTTTATTGTGCCTTAGAATGGGTTTTAAACATTACACCAAATTATTTGACTGGATTTCCCAAACAGTTTAGGAGAAAATCCACTTGGAAAAAGGGTATAACTCAACTTAACCCCTTTTTAAATCTAAATTTCATTGGAAAAAGGAGATAAGTCAACCTTAGTCTACATGAGTCCGTTTGACAAATTTGGGAAAAGGATATAACTCAACTTTTGTTTTTTTGAATCTATTGTAAAAAGAATCAACTCAACTTAACCCCCCCTAAATTTTAAATTTCAATTTGGAAAAAAGAGCTAAGTCCAAAAAATACACCAGAGTAACATACACTTTATGCAGACTATTGTTCCACTTGACTTGTCTCCAAATTCCTGTTGTTTAGGAAATTTTAAAGGGGAGCTGACTCTGTTTTCCATTTCAACGGAAAGCGATAAGTCGCAGAAAACCTCTACGGAGTGACCTTACACTTTTTTTTTTTTTCCAAAATTTTACTAATGCTTTTTGAAATTATTTTCATGTGCAACATTCATTTGGGTTTTTTTTTAGTTTTCCCCGCTAACAGTTTTTTGTTTCTCCTGGAAAATGGCCAAAATTGAGTTATCCCCTTCTTCCGCTTCCTGGATCAAATGTCTTACAATGAAATTTGACCTATGTCATTCGTATGTTACAGTGAATTCGGCGCAAGCATAATACGAAGCAACATTCCTTCGTAATACGAATCTGTTTAGCTTTTTCATTGCAAGATACAAAGAAAAACCTTCGTAATACGAAGAAAACCACCTTCGTATTATGCTTGCGCCATTTTCTTCGTGGGAAATTTCTTCGTAAGACATTTAGAGAGAAGAGTTCAATCCTGGCAACTCTTACCCGACACGACAAACTTGGCTGAGATGAGCGTGCCGCCGCATATCTGCTTCATGTCTTGCGTCAGGTCGAAGATGATGACGTGCCACGGGAAGTCCGCGGCGGACGACGTCAAATTGCCGTCCCGAATGAAGCCGATCCCCTTGCCCGTCGGCTGCCCGCAAACTACGCAGGGAAACCGATCAGGGGTCTGGTGCACGCACACTACACACTAAATTTCGTGGGCCACTTTTTGGTCCCAAGACTAAGGCACACTGTGGCAAAAAAGTACGGAAAATTCTGTTAATTTTTTTGCCAGGATTCTCCGTAGCCCTCTTATCAATATTCTCCGTAGGCTCTTACAGTATTCTCCGCAGGACCGCACAGTCCTCTCCGTAGGACCTGGAAGACTGCACAGTCCTACAGAGATCACTGTAGTGTCCTACGGAGAATACTGTGCGATCCTACGGAAAATACTGTAAGAGCCTACGGAGAATACTGACAAGGGGGCTACGGAGAATTATCACAAGTTGTTTACAGAATTTTCCGTAGCTTTTTGCCACAGTGCAATTGACCCTTTATCCAAGCTTTGTTTACGTATTTTGCCTACGAGCCGAGGCATTTCAGTGGGCGATATTTAATATTAGGGCCACGAAGTTCCATGAAGTATTTCACCCATACAAATGGGCTGGTTGGAGAGCAAAATACGTGAACAAACCCGCTATGTAGGCTTGGAAAACAGGTCGATTTTATGAGCGTCCGAGTATAATGTTGTTCCCGCATGGTGACACAATCGTCCGATGCCCACTATAAATAATTGTTCTACTGTAAGACGACACTTTGTCCCGCCAGGCTGACACAAAATTGTATCACTATCAGATCACCGATGGGAAAAAGTTTTCAAAGAAATATCGATGACAATTTACCAAACACTGATGTGAATACCACCAACATAGCAAAATATGGACACAAGATAACAAAATTCCGAAACAATTTTGTGAAAATTAAAACTTACTTGGCTCGCATCGGAACGGACGCACGGTCCACTGGCACTGCGCCGCAGCGTGACTAAAATCTTGAATCAGGCAAATCCGAACAAGAATGGTGCAACGGCTTGCAGCGAAACCTCGCAACGGTGCCAACCGGCGCTGGTGGTCCTCACATTCGACGGATGGCCCTCCAAGCGGCACCCCGGCAACACCGTTTTGGGACTTCAGCGGTGGACAGACCACTGTAATAGGAGAGGGGGAGTAAATTATGACCCCTGCCATGGTCTTTAAACAAAACAATCTGATACCAATGTGTCTTGTACTACTCGACGTATGTTTTAATGTACACGTGTCATCTACAGAAAAAGGAAGAGAGTTTTGTGCGTTAGATAAAACGTCAACGTCACATCTCTCCGTATCCCATCTGAGGAGCAAGCTCCACCAATAAGGGGCCGTTCAAAAATGACGTCAGTACCACACAGGGGTCCAGAGAAATCGTGACCAAATGTGACATGGGGGAGAGGGGATGAAGGCATTGTGACATCACACTTTTAAGTAGTGTAAAATTGCCAAATATGAAAAGGGGTGGGCCACTAAGAAATAAAAAATGAAATCAGCAATCCCCGCCTACTTAGCTTAAACTGTCACTGGCTTGGGTATTTTAACTGCACTTTCCTCAGATTTTTCCGAACAAGTTAGCGTTAGACCAGATTCGACCCGGGTTTTCCAAATGCAATCAAATTGTTAGAAAATTCCAATTTAGGCACCTAATTTAGACGATGTACGCTTGTCTATTCCCGTTGCCAAGAATAATGATTTCGACAATGTGACGTCACGGGGAGGGGAGGGGTGAGTCAAAATAGTGACCATTTGGACTATGGGGGGGGGGTCAAAAAGAGCCTAAAAAGCGTAACGTCACATTTAAACGGCCCCTTACAAGAAAAATACCCAGAAGACAAGCCCGAATGAAAGGGTTTTCCTTTCTCCAGTTATCACCAGAGGGAAATTCTTGGAAGAAATCTGTTAATTAAATCCGTGAATATTTTGATGATATAATTGAATTTTGGAAACCCAGACTGGAACTGATGCTGGAACTGAGCATGACACGGAAGCAGGAAAAACGAGTCTGAGCATGAGATGGTTTCTAAATCTTGTAGATTAATGCATTGGATTAATGAACCTTATAGTATTTGAATTTGTCTTCAAGTCACTCGTTGTATCTCCACTACATATCAGTGAATCTCGAAGTCTCTGAAATACAATGTCCATGTACTTATAGAAAGATGGAACTTTTCAATAAGCCCTTCGGCGAGTCATTTTAGTAAGTATGTTGGCTGGCGTCACGGACTTTGAAAAAAGGCCGCTTCTCACGTCATGTGCAGTGAGGATAGTCCTGAATTGACAACAGTTAGGATTGTTTTGGATCTGCTCTGACATTTAGGATTGTCTTGATCTACTCTGGCAGTTAGGATTTTCCTAATAGGACGCGTTGACTGGAGATGAGTGCTCCCTCCAACTTAAAATCTACGCGCGTCTAACCTTCGTCTTGCACCAATACAGCCTGCGTAGTTGAAGGCACCGTGGTGACTTGCCCTTCTGCTTGAGCTTGCGTCGTTGCAAGCACCGTGGTGACGACATCCTCCCACACTGCAGCTTGCGTGGTTGGTGGCGCCGTGGTCCTCTCCCGCTCGCAGCGGAAGGGACCTTCGCTCCACACCCCGTCCAAGCCGCAGCGCGACACGAAGCTCGAAGCCGGCAGGTAGCCGAACTTGATCTTGAGGCCGGGCTTGCAACGGAACGTGGCGAGCGTCCCGACAGGCACCGGATGTAGCGCGCAATCGATGGGCCTGCCTTCCAGTGTGCACGCCGCCAACACTGTCTTCAGCTGGATCGGCGGGCAGGCTGCTGAACGCAAAACATTACTAGCACAAAAGACAGAGGTTTACACTTAATTACTAAGCAGTTTATGGTGCGCAAGCTGTACACGAAACTGTGCACGCGTTTCAAAATGCACAAATTGGTGCGCAACTATGCATGAAAATGTGTTTTGTTGCGCATGAAATTCGAACATATTGAAACGCATGCAGAGTTTCGTGCATAGCTTGTGCACAAAAAACTGCATAGTAATTTAGTGTGATTGTTTTTCGCCCTATCCCGAGGTGTTGGGTTTATTATTTAGTTTTACTTTAGTTTTACTTATTTGTTCAGCCTTTCGTATAAGATGCATTTATTTCCGCATCTTTACCTACGAAAATGTTCCTTCATTTAGCCACAATGTACCGTTAACAGTAACTTATCCGAAAAGTTTTTAAGTTTCTAAGCTGTAGAATGGAAAGAGTATTCTAGTCGTCCCCTGAACCTGAACTGGCGCCGGCAGCATAACCTCACAGACTCATTGAGTGAATTAGGGGGCATCCATAAAGTACGTCCGCACTCGCAGGAGGAGGGGGCGGACGTTTGGGGGACGTGAGAGGGAGGGGGGGGGGGGGGGGGGGGGGGGGGGGGGGGGGCCGGGTGGTGGGTCCTCTTTTATACGAAGAAAATTAGGAATTAAAATTTGCCCTCTTTACGCGCGGCGCCTTGCGGGCGGAAACGGAACCAGCGCAATTTATTTTTTTTTTCGACCATATTTTTAACGCAGAAGGCTTCTTTTTGTGACTTAAAACGCGTTTTTTATCAGTTTACCCCAAAAAAAAAGCGCTTTATTGTTGAAATTTGGAATACTTTGGTCAAAATGGACGTCCAAAGGGGGGAGGTGGGGTCGCCGAAAGTGGACGTTAGCGGACAGGGGGAGGGGTCAAAATGACCGATAAAAAGTGCGGACGTACTTTATGGATGGCCCCTTTGTATTAGAGTTTTCCGAGGCGTATCTTCTCTAAAAGCACTTTCGTCGGTTTCAAATACTTTTTGACAAAGGAAATAAAATTATTTGTCAACATTTCTCCCCAGCGGAGGCGGACAAAACTCAACACAGGTTTTAGGTTCCAGAGCCCTTTGACAGCAGTAGCGGATCCACAGTCGTCCCAAGGGGAGAGGGGGGCAACGTATCACTGTTTGCCTATTGATAGGGCCAAGTGTTGATTTTTGCCTACCTTTTAGGCGGCTGGCGGCTAACTGGAGGTCCAGGGAAAAAAGGGGGCAGCTATAGTCTCCCCCCAGAAAAAAAAAATCGGACGTGTCACTCGATGATTGAGTCCCTAGAGCGACCCTAGAGCGCAAAGCGCGTCTAGAGTTTCGGCCGCCTCCACCGGTCTTCTGGCCCGCTGTGCTTTGATTCGCGTTACCTTCATCCCCCCACAATGCAGCTGCGTGGTTGGTGGCGCCGTGGTCCTCTCCCGCTCGCAGCGGAAGGGACCGTCGCTCCACACCCCGTCCAAGCCGCAGCGCGACACGAAGCTCGAAGCCGGCAGGTAGCCGAACTTGATCTTGAGGCCGGGCTTGCAACGGAACGTGGCGAGCGTCCCGACAGGCACCGGATGTAGCGCGCAGTCGATGGGCCTGCCTTCCAGTGTGCACGCCGCCAACACTGTCTTCAGCTGGATCGGCGGGCAGGCTGCTAACAATGAAGCACAATAAATTAGTTCAAACTTTTAAGCACACAACTTAAGTACGAAATCGAGCATTAATAGAATCAAACATAGAAAATGAAAAAGTCTTGCTCAACAACCCAATTTTGGGCGAGGCAAGCATAATCATTCAAATTTGGGCGATAAAGAATGTATCAGCTTTATATGTAGTCTGATAGTATCATCATCGAAATTTGGGCGAGGACGGGTTCCTCATCCAAATAATATGATTCTCGCCCAAATTTGAGCAATAAAGAATACCTCACCCGAAATTTTAGTCGTGATAACACTGGTATTTCTACACTGCAAAGCCAGTGGTAAGTTTACTTGCCACAAATTTGGCAAGCCATTTTGAATGCAAAAATTTGGCAAGCTATGGTCAGAAATCTTCACAAGCCTCCCAATTTTTCGGCAGGCTGGGGGGTATTTCCAGGCTAAGCTTGCCAAATTTTGGCATGCTGGGGAGTATTTTCAGGCGAAGCTTGCCAATTTTTGGCATAAAAAACGGCTTCCCAAATTTGTGGCGAGTAAACTTACCCCCGGCTTTGCAGTGTAATGTGATAAAGTTCATACAATTAGCAGCGTTTAAAAAGTCGGGTGCGATTCCTTCAAACTATCGAATCCACCAGGGGCGTAGGAAGGGGGGGGGGGGGGGGGCAGGGGGGCAATGCCCCTCCCTGGGCCCTCGGGGGCGCCGAAGGCGCCCCGCAGGGGCGCCAAGACTGCGCTCCAGCGGGGGCGTCAACGGGGGCCCCACAAGAGTGCCTCATGAGAAGGCGCCCGTTGAGTCAGCGCCCGTCAAAGCGGGTGTCGTGGGAGGCGCTTGGCGCCCCGCACAACGGCATAAGGGGTCTAGGCTAGAAATCGCTGTTCATTTTGCGCGCAACTGAGGAGGGCCAAGGGGAGGGCTACACTCTACAAAAAATGTCTTGTCAACGCCGTTAATTTATTACCAATGTTTGCTGTTATGCAATTCACGGCGTTTGCTGTGAACTAGTTCACGGCGTTTCTGTGATCTGGGTTACAGTGTTCACGTGATCTGGCCACAGTAAACGCCGTGAAATTTGGGGCCTGATTTGTAGTACTTCGGTGCTCAGCGGCGTCAAACTCCAGTGTTTACTGGGACCAGATCACGTGAACACTGTTACACTCTACCAAAAAAGTCCTGTAAATGCCGTTAATTTATTACCAGTTTTTTACTGTAGGTCAAATTTACAGCGTTTACTGTGATCTGCTCACGGGATTCACTGTGATCTTGTTCGCGGTGTTCACTGTGATCTGGTCCCCAGTAAACACTGTGAGTTTGACGCCGCTGACACCGAAGTACTGCAAATCAGGCTCCAATTCACGGCGTTTTCTGTGGCCAGATCACAGTGAACACTGTAACCGAGATCACAGTGAAAGCCGTGAACTAGTTCACAGCAAACGCCCCGTGAATCGCATAACAGCAAACATTGGTAAAAAATTAAAGGCGTTGACAGGACATTTTTTGTAGAGTGTAACCGAGATCACAGTAAACGCCGTGAACTAGTTCACAGCAAACGCTGTGAATTGACCTACAGTGAAAACTGGTAATAAATTAACGGCATTTACAGGACATTTTTGGTAGAGTGTAGGGCGACGGCGGCTGGGCGCGACAACAGATGACTGAACGCTCGGTTCGATGGCTAGCCTGGAGCGAGTAGCGACGACGGCGCACAGTGGGACGAAATGCGAAAAAAAGTGGTCAGAATTAAGCGAGCCTCCAAATCATCGCCAAAATCTCTAATCGGCGTTATTCGAAGGTTAAAACTCATTATGTCAAAATCTCGAAAAATTACTTTGGGATGTTACGCCAGTACCAACGACCCACACCTGATGTTCTCACCAACCATGCCCTGCGGCGCCAGCAAGCCTTCCGCAACCTTCTTTGCCAACCATCGGCATTCAAACCGAAGTGTCCGCAAGTCGAGACAGCATTCGTAAGTTTACTTTTGGCCTAGGGGCTCGCCCAATAATGCTTCATCAAAGCTACTTTGCGAGCCACTTTTGACACCGTTTTTCTCCGAAGGTGCCGCAATGTGTGGCGATTGGCGATATGAGCTGGAACGGGGGGCGGCTACACTACCACCGGCACAAGGTGGAATGGTTGGAAAATGTTCGCAACTCATCACTGTTAAAAAAATTTACTGAAAATTCATATTTTTTGTAAGAAGTCGATTTACTTACATTCAGTCTGAATTTTCATACCAAATCTTTCATACTTCGCGGTCTGAAAGTTTCAGACGACGTTAGTCTGAATTTTCAGATCAACATGTTGTATAAAAAATGATACAGTCGGTCTATTTTATCAGACTAAGTTGTACGAAGACATTGAACAGTCGCACTAAAAATGCCACTCTGTAGAGTAGAACACAAATCGGCAAACTTTTGCCATCGGCGTTACCCCCAACCACGCGCCGACCCGTGGCCATGCGCGAGAGTGAAATTGTATTCTTTGTTATTTAGCTTATACTGCACTTTTTAAACCCTGAATCTTGCTTTGGTGCGCTCATGCCCTTTCAGACAATCACTTGGAATAAGTTTGTAACAAAATATTCGCAATTTCGCCTTCAAGTGGCAATTTTAGCTCCAAAAGATCATCCATTCGACACTAGCGCCACCTAGCGGATAGAGCAATAAGTGTCCTTTCGGAGCTCTGAAACATTCTCTATGTTTTTACGACACTAAACGAAAATATTTTTTGAAATACAACAGTAGTATTGATAAAAGTTCTGAGAAAATCGAAAAATGTACAAAGGGGAGGGGGTTTTTTTCACTCGTTTTCCGATTTCACAAGTATGAATTTAATTTTCGGACGACAATGTACAAAACTTGATAGCCATCGCTCTAAATATTCAGACTTGCTAGTCTAAATTCAAAATTTTAGACAACAGGTCAAACTTTTCAGACAGTTGGTCTTTAAAATTCGTACCATTTTTTTGAATTTTCGATTCAGACCACCAGGTAAGACGGGAAAACATTTTGAATTTTCATATTTTTTTTAACAGTGCAACTTATCGCTCCCTAACAGTTTTTAAAAAACCCTTAATTGTGCAATAATTTTAGCAGCGTGTAACATTTAAACCCCAAGACAAATTAGATAGTCAAAGGCAATTGCTCGATTTGTCAGGTCACCCGCTTTCCCAAAAAAATAAAATGTTATTTTATCTTGAAGGATGCGACCGCCAGAGGGAATTACATTCACCTGTTGGAATGGATGCACGAAAATCTGAAAATGTTTCGAGTTTAGAGCTCCGTAGGGGGTCACCCACGTGTCAAATTGTCAATTCAATTAGTGTTCTGGGTAGCCTAGACCCTTTCCCTTTTCCCAAAATCCAAAAGTTTGAAGGACCCCCCCTCAGTTATAAAAATACCACTTTTGACCACTTTTCGCGTTTCGTCCCACTGTGGGGGACGCGTCGCAGATTAAAGGGTTAATCTGTGACAAACTGCTTTAACAAGTGTCAATTAAAAGTTAAAAAAAAAGGCACTGGAAAATCACATTTTTTAAAGGGGTTTTCCCCCCCCCCCCCGGGAGGGTGGGGGCGCAATTCGGCCAAAGGGGGGGGCCATAAAGAGTGCCCCCCTTGGCCGTAAAAAGTTCCTACGCCCCTGGAAGCCACGAGAGCAATAAAATATTGTCTCGTTAAAAATGCAATAAGTCTCTTAGGTTTCGGCCGGTCTGGGCCCAGATTATCACAGTTTTGGTGAAAATAAAGTGATAACTACGCTACAAAAGTGGTACATTCGCTAATGCAATAGAATATTTATCTCACTTATAATGCAGTAACTTTTTCATGGCGCTAATTATGCAATAAACATAATATTGCTTTTGAAATGAGTTCATTATTACACTTAGAAAACCAGCGTACCTGCACTTATGTAAGCGCCAGAACACTGAGTGATCCACCCCTCTATTTACGATAAAAGCTTCCAAAAACACAGTTTCCCGGTGGCCTTTGGATACTCAATTTACCTAAGAGCACTGGTTGGGCATACAAGTACATCACGAACAGAGTTAGGCTTTTTTTGTTATCTTTGCCCCCGGGTTGCAAATCGACGTCCTCTGACCCCCCAGGTTCCCCTGCACTGTAACAGAAATTTCTAATGAGTCAAAGTTTGATGACACACCGCCCTACGCGGTCAGAACATTGTTTTTGTGTCTTCACATTAAGTGAAGTTGTCTTTGTAACTCAGCATGAAAGTCTTGTTATTAAAAAATCTGCCTAAGAAAATTTTAATTTTATATGTTTGATCCAAAAATGTCTTTGAAAGTTTATTTGCACTGGTTTCTAAGAAAAACTGATTTCTGAAGAAAGCACGCAAAATGTGCCCGATTTAAAATTTACGCCTGTAGTGCACGCTGTTCTAAAGGGCGTGTTTGTCAGGCACGCATTTTAGAACAGAGTGCCAGAAGGGTGCCCCTCTCTCATGGTAACCAGGTCCAAGGCACAGAGCTAGGAACTGTCCCTCCAGGCCTCCAGGCACACAGTTTGGAACAGTGTGCGTGGAGGTGCAAAGTTTAAAGCAGTGTGCGATCCACACAACTCAAAGTGTGCCATGCACAGACTTGCGTTTGCTACCGGCAAGTACAACAGAAATTTGTTAAAATCCAGCTCATTCCCCCAATGCTGGAGCATGAAATTAAAAAAAGTGGTTCGCCCGTTCGCCGCTTCGAGAGTTACAATGTATGGGTTATGTCCGAAGGTCAGCGACACTCTCTCGTTGGCATGGCATGACAATCGAAGCGACTCCTCATGACTGTTATTAAGAAGCAAATGATGCGTCGACGAGCGGATTTGGCGTTTTCCCGGCCGAGGTGCTGTAATCAGTACCTGCGTCGCCGGGAATCTGCAGTACAGTAGTGAGGTGTGGAACAAGGAGGAAAACCCAAGGCCGGAGTTGCCGCTAACAACAATACAGCTCAAGTAGAAATGACTTTGGAGTTTCATATTTCATTTGAAGCTCATTTTCAAATGATTTCGACACAAATTTCACTTTTTTTTAAAAAAAAAAATACTTTCTTTTAAATTTAAGTAATTTTCCTGAACTATGATTGTTTTTTTTTTTTGAAATGCGGATCATTGCTTTGGTGGTCCTTTAGTCAGCTGTCTGTGCGCGATCTACTGTTTCAACTCATACGGCTGCAATCCAGGTATTTGCTTAAAAATGTAAACTCCGTAGACGTCAAATTATGTAAACTTTAAGTCATTTCCTCTGTGATATAAGGGAAAAAAAAATTCTCGAAAAGCGTTGCACTTGATGTCGTTTCGCATTCTGCATGCCAAAACAAGAAAAACAAGGCCAATATGAACAAAATCGGACAACTTTCATTTTTTTTACAGTTTAAAACGCGAAATTGTAACATTTCTGTAGATTGACCCCTGTAACTATGAAAAATGAAGCTGATCTGTTTTCGAATTCCCTCTTCTTTCAGTAGTTTTAATTCGAGGGCACCTTAAGGACACGCGGGATTACTCCGACATGTTTAAAAACACTACGAATCGTCCAAGTCAATTTTTAACCTGTTCTTCACCCACAATTTGTTCACCCTGCCACAATTCTCCAGCTCAGACCTGTCTGCGCTGCTAAACAATGTCCGGTGCATTGGGTCACATGTCTGGCGTTTAAACAGGACTTTCTCACTCTGCGGCACCACTGCACTGGGTTGGAGACGGCGAGATCACTTTTGTCCGAGGGGGTATGCACTCGCGTAATAGTCGGTACACTCTATCTGTAATAGCACGCGTAATAATTCGCGTAATAGTCGCGTAATACCCGAAATTGTCAAAATTTTATCAATTTTTGGTGTTTTTAGGCCGTTTGAGCAAAATTCCGTTTAAATTTTGTGGCGTAATAGAGCGTAATAGCGTAATAGTCGGTACACAGGTTCAGAGACCCCTACCCCTCGCTTTTGTCGATGTTGAGGCAGAACTGTTCGCACGCTTCTCCGCCTACCGCACTGTCAAGGCCGGCCAGGTGTTCGCCGGTGCGACGCGCGCGGCCGTCCAGCGGACACTGAGCCTCGTCTGGAGGCCCGGCCCGCAGTCGGGACGGCGAATGACGTCACCAGGTCGTAGACTCACGTACCGCGCAGGTGAAGGACTGAAGGCGTCAACACGTTCGTGTGTGTGTGTGAGTGTGTGTGTGTGTGTGTGCGTGGAGCGCCCTGCATTTCCATAGCAGTTCCCTATTGATGTTGCCAATGCCATAGCAGCCATTGCTATTGCAGTTGCCATTGCCATTGCAGTTCAATAAAGGCGGGGAGAGACCATGCTGAGAGGCTACGGCTACGTTGCCCGGCTATGAGAACAATGCAGAGCGGTAGTCCCAAATGGACTCTAGTGCAACTCAAAGGGGGGCTACACACTAAATGTTATGTACAATTTTGTACGAGACATCACAGTTTTTTGTGCACACGTACAATTTTCGTACGAAAAATTGCACATTTTTCGCCATTTTTGTACAAAAATGTACAAAATTTTGCACAAATTTGTGCGAAAAGTTCGTGTGCACAAAAAACTGTGAGTCTCGTACAAAATTTTTACAAAAACCCTTTTGGATGTATCTCCGGCTCCGGCCTAACACGGGTGGCGCTCTAGAGCACTGCATGTTACCTGGTTGCCAGGGTCCGCGCAGAATAGCCATCATAGCACCGAACCAAAGAACATCATAGTTTTCGCCGGACCGACTCAAAACACTCATTATAGCAACACCACATCAACAACCCAGTTGGCAGAAGAGTTGAAGATAAATAAACAAAAGGGGAAGTGTGCTTTAAAAATTTTAAATATGCTTCTTTTGCAGCATTTAGTTGATATTGCTCAGTTTTTTTTTTTTTTTTTTTTTTGGGGGGGGGGGGGGGGGAAATAGTTGGGGCGCGACTTAAATTTTACACGTATTGGGAAATTCCTATACATGAATAGGATTTCTGGCAGTTGTATACATGTACACTGTGAGAAAAAAGTACGGAAAAAGTACGGAACACGTCTGGTCAATAATTTGCCTGGACCGTCCGTACTTGCCAACTACGGAACGTTCCGTACTATGTTTCCGTATCCATTTACATGGGTTCATATGGAGCAAGTACGGAACGTTCCGTACTTTTCTCCGTACTAAATTTTTCTGTACCATTTCCGTACAAAAGTACGGAATTTTTTACAGTGTATAGTAATTTTCCTATACATTTTCGGCCCGTATAGTAAAAAACCTATACAAGTCGGAAAATTCCTATGCATGTATCGGAATATCAGTAATTCCTATACATGTATAGGAATTTTGCTAGACCAGTGAATGGTAAAATTCCGATCACTTTTTACAGTGCGTCATACGAAGTTGTCTGGTCACGATTTTCGGGACTTTCTTCCCGCTTATACCAGAGTCGTGTTCAAATGAACGTCGTGTCGTATTCAAGCGAGCATCGTGTTCACCACACTCTTAGGATCACACTTCGCTCTTGTAGACTTTTTATGCATAATCATGCATGGACTGATACGAACGTAAGGTAAGGTGTGTATTATTGTATTATATTGTGCATCACATGGGCATGTCCATTGTATGCAGGAATATGCATAAAATGTACACAATCAAGCACCTAACTTGCGTTTCTGTACATGCATAATTATTGGCGAGCGATAGCGAGCCCATGCCGTGTTTGGGGGTACCAAAAAGTGACTGGTCGTGCGTCTGTCTGTAACTCACTCACGTTTCTCAGCAACTACCGCACAAATAGTTTCAAAATTTCGCACCGGAAGGCTCCTAAATCTCCCCCAGGGGGAGTTTATCTTATATTCACGATTACTATTGTTTGAAATATTCAAAACATCTTTTTGAATTAGGTTCTTAGCGTGGTTAGGTTGGCAGTGGTTGGCGGCTCGTAGCAATTTTTCATACTTGCGGCCGCGACTCTCAAATACGGGACCTGGCAAAACATTGGCAAATAAAACAAACTAAAGAGCAGAAGGGCTTAGAAGTGAGTACGTACGGTCATAGTTTTTCGATATTTTAGAATGATTGAAACCCTCCGGAGTGTCAACTCGGTGAAACACGGAAAATGAAAGTGACAATTATTGCGCGTTTCGTCCGTCCGTCCACCCCCTCCCCTCCCCGCTACAGGGGAAATGTTTTAGTCAGTGCACTGTGTTTGATAATTGCAAGAATGATTTGGTTTTTTAACCTTTGTGAGTGTATTTCCATTTATATTCTCAGACACTATATTTTTTAGTTGTTTGCTTTGCTCAATAACAGTTAGAAAATATATTAATACATTCTATGAGTACAAACCAGATGCTAATCTTGCCAAAATAAATAGTCTTTGCTGACTCTTGGCACTGATTCTGGGAAAGGCTTCATTGCAATTCTGTGAGTTTACTATAGTACTAACCTTAAAGAAAACCATATGATGAGTGAGTGTAGCGCATTCAAGGTTTGAGATTGACATCAGATTCAATGAGACGATTCACTGACTTGGTCATATGATTTCATGAGACGATTCTTTTAACTTCATCATATATTGTGTTGGTCATGGTTTGAGTTGGCTTTTTTTTTCATTTACTCAGAATGTTAGGTAAATACTTTGCTAAACTGTTTCAAAGATTAAATAACACACCATGACTATCATTATGAATAAGATAAACTTGCATTTAGCAATAAGTGGCCTCGACATTGGATTCTATGAAACGATTCATTGGATCTGACAGAAGGTCTTCTCCGCAAAGTAGTTTAAATCAGCCTGCCTGTAAATATGTCTCTTTTTAATTAATGCAGATAAATCAGTATAGTTTAATCCACTAGTTTACACTAAAAGGGATAAAGGCTTTTTAGGTATTACTAATAACATTGCGTATTCATAAGTTCAATAACAAGGAGATATCGAATGGTAATTGAAGTATTTGTGAATCGTATTAAGCAATTCATGCTGGCTGTAAATGTTACTCGACTGAGTAACAGGGTCAGGGTTCATGGCATGACACCATGAACAGGAAACGCTCTTAAAAAACCTAACAACTGAAGACCCATACTTTCAA